CAGACAGGATATACAAGCAGATATAAATAGATTAGATGATAGAATTGATGAGAATAAGGAAAGAGATGATATCCCTGCAAATGGTGACAGTACTGACATATCACGTAATATTGTGATCAGGAATTTACCAAGTACAGCAAATGAAAACGTCGTGAACAAGGTAAATACTTTAATTAAAGATGGCTTACATATCCCTGATATAACTGTGTTGTCTGCAACAAGAAAGGAAAGTAAACATGAGCACACACATGGAGTCATTGTTGCTAAGTGTAAATCTGAAGAAGATAAAAATATTATATTGAGGAACAAAAAAAGACTATTTCACCAAACTCGTTATGAAAAGGTATATGTGAATTCCGATGAGCCAGCTGCGGTCAGAAAACAAGAAGCCAACCTTAGAACTCTAGTTAGAGCGATGAGAAATGGGAACTTTAGAAATGTTACCATGAAAGGATCTAGGGTATACAATCATTCAACAAATAATTCAGGTCGTCCTGATAACCCCCATGGATCTGGAAATGGCAGGAACAATAATCCAAGTGATCACGAGGCAGTTCAAAGGCGTGGCAGTTCATGTGGTCGTGATAACTCGAATGAAAGTGCTCGTGGTATTTCTAGCAGGAGAGGCAATTATCGTGACAATTCGCGTGGAAGTAATTATCGTCCTGACAACTCACATGAACACCAACATCAAAGTCGAAATCAAACACAAACTAACAGTGCTTCTTTTTTCAGGAAGGAATAAAATGAATATGTCTGATAATAAAAATGTTAATACAAACAAAAAAAACACACAATAGTTATTCTTCAGGTCAAAATTGGAGGGGTAGAAGAGGAAACAACTGATTGTCAGCAGGTTTTTGGAACGTAAATGGCTGGAACTGTGATCGCAACTCTGACAATTATTTATTTCGTGAAAATGTAGTTAGAGCTTTACAGTTAGATATTTTAGGTATTGCAGAAAGTCACCTCAAACATCAGGATACTTTATTTTTAGAGGGATATACATGGTTTGGATATAATAGGGGTTATCTCCATAAAAACGCTAGAAATGGGTCAGGGGGTGTAGGTTTTTTCATTAAAAATGGTGTTCTTGAGGATTTTGAGGTGTCTGTTTGCAAATGTGATAATGAAGGGATTCTTTGGCTGAAATTAAGTATGAAAACTGAATCGTATACACTTTTTGCGGCTGTCTGTTATTTGCCACCTTAATTTTCAACAAGACAAATTGATGTAGGTCTTTTTTATGATTGTCTTCTTTCTGATATATATGAATTTCAGAATCAAGGTACAATATATATTTGTGGTGATTTCAATGGAAGGGTTGGGAGTTTATATGATTTTATAGAGGGTGTTGATAGTCTACCTGAAAGAGGCGTTGTTGATCATATTGTAAATGAGTATGGTTCAGCTATGATAGATTTTTTGATAGATTGTAATTTTTGTATTGTCAACGGTCGTAATACAGTTAAAAATCAAAGTGCTGAAAGCACTGATGGGGGCGCAATATGTGCTAAATTCGAGATTTGTATAGCAATCTACTTTAGGTGTTCCAATCTGATATCATTCTTCTTTCAAAGTTGAATAAGTGCCCATTTTGTACACAATATTATAGTATCGCTTCCAAACTCTTGTAAAAATTGAAAATCATGTACCAAGAACATACTAACAAACCCAGGCAAAATGCATAATTGATATCATATATATCATGAATAAACATTTTTAAAATTATGACATTGGATTTTGTTGGGAAACTATAGTTGCTTAACCAATTTTCATGTAAAGTACTTCCTTATGTGAATGTATAACACATAAAATCAGTGTACTTACTATATTTATTCCAAGAAATGATTATGCAGATAGAAAATAAACAGAAAATTTAACTGTCTATAAAATATTTCTAAAATAAAACCAGGACTGTAAGAACAAACTTATTTTTTGTAGAAAACCTTTCAAGCACAATAGATAATACATGTGAGAATGTAAATTGGAATAAGATACATATAATCAAGTTGGCATTGAAAACAAGAGCCACTATCTAGCTTGGGCCATGCTTTGGCTTTTTCTTATATTGAAAGTCAAACACATCAGTAGGAGAATATTGTAATATCTATTTGAGTACTCCTAGAAAACATAATATAAATGTATAAAGTAAATTTCAAATTTGAATAGTAAAGGTCATAGTTGAATGATAATTGTTCTTTTGTCCAAGAATGAATCAAATCATAGACAAAAAACAAAGTTATGACAATGTGAGTGAATTTCAATTGTTTAACCTTGGAGGTAAATGGTCATTTAAAGGTCAAAATATATCAAAAAAATTCAACATGTTGGTTCTGTGTTTGTTTGTTCAAGCATGATTCAAATCTGTAAAAAATAACAAAGTAATGACAATTCCAGCTAACTCCAAAGATATTTTATATCAAATAAAGGTCAAGGTCATATATGAACTTGAAGGGCTTTTGTCACAAAAACATGTCTCCCAAAACTGTGTATGGTTCTGATCACTCTTTTTGAATTTTTGGGCAGTTGTACATGTGATAGATTTTTCTTTTTTTAACTCTTCGGCCATTTTGTGCAGAGAGAAACAGGACATGGCTGCCATCTTTGGATACCCACAATTGATAAACATGTCACATAACATGCAATCAATGATGAATATTAATGGTTCGGCCATGGGTATCTGACAATGAGAACATGCCAACAATGTGCACAATTAAGAATGGCACTGTACACCCCTGTTTAGTCCTGTTTGAAATCTAACCAGCAGTTTAAACATTACTTTTTTATATAAGTTAAAGATAGAAAACATTATCAATTTTAATCCTATACTTATTATGGGTATTTATTGGATTCATTATTCAAAATTAAATGAAAGAGCATGGAACAAAATATTTTCAAGATCTAGTAAAATCTAAATGTTTTTAAAAATTTAGTAGAATCAAAATTTACAATAAATATATCAATAAATATACTATAAAGTACATTATAACAATACATGTATTTTGGATAATACACTCTCAGCTGAAAATACTTTAAATGGGTTGTGGTATTATAAATGTTTGTAAATATTGTAAGTTATCTAATCAATAAGTCTATTCTTAATAAAAGAAACTTGCATCTTGATATTTTCTGTACAAACTAGAACTGTCATTGTCATGGCGTGAATACCCCCACATACCAATTTGTCAGAATCAACAGTAGTCATTTACAGCTCAGCCAAATCTGAGGGAAGTAAACCAGTGCATTGCTAAGTTATATATTCTACATGATTTAGTAGAAAAGCTCAAAGTGAACTTTACCTTGGACCTACTGACCTCAAAACTAAAACTGCCATTGAATGACTTCAATAACACCCCCCCCCCCCATTTCATGCAGCCTTGCCTGGAGGTGTTTTATGATGAATATATGAGACCATTTGAGCAGACAAGCTTTTTGTAATAAAAGCTCCTGTGACCTTTGCCCCAGTAACCTCAAAATCAATAGGGGTATTCTACTAATCTTGACTAACCTCCATGCCAAATATTAAGACTATGGGTCTAAGGATTCTTAGGTAATTGGGCGGACAAGCTTTAATTAGCCAAGGCCCCTGTGACCATGACCTTAGACCTGAAAATAAATAGGGGTCATCTACTAATCATGACTAACCTCCATGCCAAATATGAAGACTGTGGGTCGAAGGATTCTTAAGTTATTGGGCAGAAAAGCTTTCTTCAGTCAAGACCCCTGTGACCTTGACCTTTGACTTGGTGTTCTCAAAATTAATGGAGGTCATCTACTAATCATGACTTACCTCCATGCCAAATATGAAGACTGTGGGTCAAAGGAATCTTAATTTTATGGACGGACATGAAAAAAGCGACGGACGCCCGACGGCCGGACAAGCTGATTCCAGTCAGACCTGGGGATGATTACATTGACCAGTAATTGATTTAATTACAATTACTTTCATATTTTATTGTAATTGATTAAGATTGATTACTCACACTTGCCTCTGTAATCAATTGAATTACAATTATTTTAAGAGAGTAATTGATTGATAATTGATTACATTCAATGTAAAGTAGAATCCCTACTTACGATCACCCCTGAATTTAGACCAACTGTTAATAAGACTATTTTTTACAAGGTTCCCTATGTCAATGGTTACATGATCCAGAATTAAGAACAACCGCTTATCCACTTCTAAGACCACCTGATCCAGTCCAAATTCTTTTTGACCCAACTATTGAGACCACTAATATTAAAGTCAACACCTATCCAGATCTTAAATTTGTTGTTATGATCTGCTTGAATGCTTTGCATGACACTTAATTTCAAAAGGTGTGAAAAACTGTTATTATTGGGTCATTGTATGAAATAGGGTGAGAATGTAAATTTAAGAGTGGTTTATTTTTGGTTTCAGCAAATTTATTTTGTGAGGAATTAATTTTTATTTGATAGGAATAAGGTGATTTATGTACATCATATATTAATTGATATTGAAATATGACCAAAGAGAATTTTATGTTAAATTTCTTCAGAAATATGTTTTCCTCTCATCCGATATCAAAGCATACTTTTATAGTGTCTTTTATATTGTATTTGTAGCTTAAGACACATATTGTTTTTTTTTATACAAAATGACTAAAACAGACCATGGTCATAAAGTATGTAAGCAATGATAAGAATATTCACAATTAAGACCACTTTGGTCCAGTCCAGATGATGGTCTTATTTAAGCGCTTTTTATACTATATAAATGTAAAACAAAAGTTAAACTGTATCATGTAAAATAAAGGCATCCTTTGAATTAAAATAGTTTCCTGTAAAATCTGAAAGTAATCAATGTCAATCATATTGTAATCATAATTACTGACTGAATTTTAGCTGTAATTGATTAATTACAATTAAATTAATCATTTTTGGGCAAGGTAATCAATTACATGATGATTACAGTATAATCATGTAATCAATTAAAAAATCAATGATTACAATTAATGATTACCCCAGGTCTGATTCCAGTGTAGCCCCCTTACAACTTTGTTGTGCAGGGGTATAACAGATTTCAAACATTGATAAGTTAGCTCATCTTCTTTGTGATGAACTGGCGCCTCTATATTCAAATGTGGTTCTGTTCATACACAAGTTATCTCATGTTCTTCATGATAAACTCTCACCTTGAAGTTGATAGAGTTCTGTTCATACATATTTCAAAAATAGATAAGTGATCTTATTTTCCTGGTGAAAAACTGGTCGCTCATTCAATATCAATACATATCATGTCACTCATTCAAGTTCTATACATATTATAATATTTCAAATATTGGAAAGTTATCTCATGTTCTAGGTGAAAGACTGGTGACTAGTTTTCTCCTCAATGTCTTTTCTTTTTCTTATTAGATTAAGTCAAGTTACTATATTCATGAGGCTTTCGACATCACACATTCCAACATTGCAAATGGCAAGCAGTCTCCTGGTATTCCAATTTCTTTCAGTTTTGAAAAACCAAATGTGTCAATTTCTCTAGTGTTTCCGACATGAAGACACATCTACATGCATCTGTCCTTATCACTCCTGCTATTACTGTTCTATCATACAAACGCCACTGTTTCCTGAAATATTTGTTTAGAAAAAGTTTACAGCAAAATAAAAAATTCCATTATTTTTGTTGTTTTTTTTTCGGGGAGGGGGGTGGGGCAATTTAAAGCACAATTTCCAGCTTTACTGCTTGATGAAGACCTTGGTGCACCTATGTGTATGATTTCAGGCACCTGGGTACTATCAATGTTCCATAAATGAGCTAGATAGCTTTCTCACATGAAATGATCCGTAAACACTTGCAGAGCACGAACCTACAGCAGTGAAAGGCTTAAAGGTTTAAAGTCAACCAATCGCCACAGACACCCCAAGTATTTTATCTATTTGCCAAGCAGCAATTTTTTCAAAATCATTTAAATTTATAAATGTGAGTGATTCTGATAAGCTATAGACAGCTAAGTGAAATCATATATGTCAGATATGTCGGAGTGCTTATTGTGAATATTCATTATTTTAAATTAATGTGAATTCTTCTGAGGTGAAAAGGAAAGGAAAGCTGAATTCCTAAATACATGTTACATGTCACAATTGTTCTTGTTATTAATTTGTTCCTAATTTCTATTCTATAAGATGATATTTAAATTCACTGTAATTCCTTTTTATAAATTTGGATTTTTGTGACAATAGTCTATCCAGTGACAGAAGCTCACTGACTTAAAATAGACTATCCTGTGTCAGCCTTTAAACAAGTCAAGAAATAAAAGCTATTAGAATATAATAATTAAGAAATATCATATAAAACCACTTCTAAATTATCATGTACCGCTTCTTTAAATGCCATGCTACTGAAAGAAACATTTTACCATTTATTCACTGCAAGGTTTGTCAGATTGACAGTCTCACATTTTATTTCATCCTCATTGACCCTAAAGCATCCTTAAAATCAATATCGTGCCGTTCACATTTACAAATCTGACATGTAGGCCGACCATCTGAAACAGAAAGTTGGAAAGATAAAATATTAATTATTATTAGATATACATATAGTATCCCAATAATTATGTTAGTTGAAATCAATAGTCAAATCAATAATTTAAGCAGTGTTAGAAATAAGCAGTAGTCCTATAGCCCCTGAATACTAAATTTCTCCTCGGGCTACCAACTTTTCACAGTAACAGGCCTGACCAAGCCACTGTATTTTAAGAGGCAATATAAACAACTGTTTTGAACAAATTAATCGTGCCAGAGAAATGTCTTTTGGGCTGGTTAATATTCCAATCTGGTAGTCCGACCAGGCTAGTCGATTCAAATCCTAATTTCTTACACTGTTTAAGAAACAATTTGTTCAAAATTGTCCAAGAACAAAGATTTTTATAGTATACTATAGTAATTATAGTGTATATACAGTATGTATTAAATGTCTTTACTATCTACTATACTGTCCTTAAATTTTAAGAAAACAACTATCTTTAAAATCCATTGTCTCAGAAATTGCAAAACCAAGTAAATGAAATTGTTCTGTATTTGTATTATTCTACACAACTTCTGATCACAAAAAAGCTTCACGGACATTAATGAGTGAATCAGGTCCTATCCTGAAAGATTTGTTGCGTACAAGTTTGAAGACAATCCATTCAAAAATAACAAAGTCATAGCCACTAATAGCAAAAAATCAGGAAAATTTAAATATTTTACCTTGAATGTTTATATGGAGGTCAAGTTTAGTCTGGTCTATTTGAAGGGTTGTTGTGGCCAAGTATGAAGACAATACACCAAGATCTGAAAAGTTATGAAAGGTTAAAGTTTGTTGACAGCAACGGGAAAGCTGTCATGACTGTAACAATATATTTTGACCCTAAATGCAAACTGAAAGTTCTAGCCTATACACACTGTTGAGGATAGCCGTTCAGCATTTTTCAATAATAAATAAATGCAATGATAAAATTGGTAACTTGCAAGTCTTCTAACATTTTTACAAAAAATGAACATATATATTTTTTCCTAACAATTCTACGATGACGTTCAGCCTTTTATATTATAACAAGATATCGGAAAGAATATATGAGAAATGAATTGGCCCGTGGAACTTTAATGTCAATCATAGAGCTCTTATGCAAAATGTAATGGTAAGCAAACATCCAGCATGAAATTTTCAAGTAGCTAAAAGTGAAATAAAATTATTAAAAATACTTTTGTCATAATTCAACTACTGTTGGAAATTGACCCACATGTTTGATTACAAATGTATCTATATAATAATGTCCATAAAAATATAATAAATTAATTTACAGTCTCTTTCTCTGTGCGCTTTCACACAGATTTATATTATTCAACTCCATGATTTTCAGAAGGAAAAAAAATCTTTTGATCATCAAACACTACAAATTACTATACCAACTGTAAATTGCAGTCTGTGCGAAAGGCTGTCGGTCCTCGGACCTCGCCAACTAAAAATCGTAGGGTCGACATAAATTTCGATACAGTCAGTTGTCATGTCGGAATAAAAATTCAGCCAGTTTGAAACAATTTTTGGCCTTCTGAAATATGCAAAGCTTCAAAGATCAATCTATCTTTTTAATTTTTTGCTTGTATTCACAGACCAAAATAACCAAAATCACCGCAGGATACGACCAGTTTTTGCTAAGTAATGTAAGCCACCATCTTGTCTCGGTTTTAATTTCTTTACCAAAACATATTTTTTCTCCAATCTTCAAAATTAAACCTTTTGAAAGATGTACATGTATTGTTCATTCGGAACTGCCTCGGCTATTATCTACAATATTAACCTCGGAAACAATACGGATTGAAAGTAGTTCTACCACGTGGTTTCAGATGTAAACAAAACAGAGATAATGTAAATCGAATGTATATATTTGACATCTAATGCCTGTTCCGGTACTCTTTTGCTTGAAAACTTGTAATTTAGATATGCCTATTGATGTTCAATTTTAAACAAATCCGACGAAATGTCAACAGGTTGGTTTTTGTACTTTCGGTTTTTACAACCATAATATATAAACATATAAATAATGAATTGTTTGCTTTTGTACCTATAATATCACTCATTTAAGGTGATCGTTTACTACATATATTGGAAATAAACTTGTAAAACAACGCCCAGCATTAAATTACTTTTTGTTTACATGTTTTATTTTCTTAGCGTAGGTTAGACCGAAATACCGCATCCGTTCTGTGTATTCATACTATTGTGTTCGAGTCCTTATCCGAAGACTGACGGAAAGGCCGAGTAGTTGCGATTGTGTATTGTTTTCTTGTGAATTATACTAATGTTTTATCAATATGTTTCTGTATATTTTTTTCTTTAGTATCTTATAGTTGAGTCTGATAATTCATATATGCTAAATATTTTTCTTTATAATTATGGCAATATCCCTCCCCCATACCTACAAAAAAAAACCTGTCAGAGTCCGGGCGTGGGAAAAATCATCAGTCTAAGGATACCAGTCCTTGCGGGTGGAATTTTTTTTTACTTTCGCATTGACTGAAATTGTATATGATATTCAATAAAATCTTCTTTTAGAAAAAACAAGTTTGCATTATTATTGTTTTTAGGCAACTCATTTTTAAAATGCTGTACAGCTAGCCTCAACAGTGAGTATGTGCTAGTCGTATTTGACTCGCATACAGCCAATACTGGTTCATACTGCTAGCCACTGCCTATTCCTCTACCAATTCCATGAATACTATTAGTATAATAATCAAATAGATGTTAAACAATAAAAGTAATGATGACTTAATATGATGTATATAAAATTCCGCTGCTAAAGACAAGTTGTTTTTATTGATTGTTATATCAACAGAGGGTAATGAAATAGATAAATACAGAATCCCTAAAGAAAGCCCAACACGGCAATATTGAAAATGTTGCAGGCTCGGTTTGATTGAGCCTGTTCATGGACGGTACTGGAAAGTGCAAGTTACCGTCCACGCCCCCTAGCACCGGCTTAAGCAGAATTCAACATTTAACATGAACTGGTTAAAATTTTAGAATTTTGAAACATCCGCAGATGTGTTCATATGGCGGTTATCATGGAACCTTCAATGTGACACGTTAGTGCCATTCCATGAAAAGCGGCATATGGTCCCCAAGTAAAAAAAATGCGTGTGCCCTAAACGAGAAAACAATGGGCGGAACTAAATAAAATGGTATTTTGAAAGGGATCTGAGGTTATGAAGTAAGTTTATCAAGTTTCCCCCGGCAACAGTGTTGTGTGAAAAAAATGTCAATTTGATTAGCCCTTTGAAGCAAACCATGCACAACATGTGTATTAATAAATCCTTACAATTATCAAGAAAAATAGAACAATTATTTTATCAAGCACGTTAAGCAATAAAGACGTACTTTGACTGGTTTACAGAGAAAAATAGTTGAAAGTATCTTGACAGGTATTAATTGGAATTAGATACACAGTTCAACTGTTAAATGGAAGCGGTCAATCAGCTGTTTCGAAAATGAAAGTACACACCAAAAACACACTTCAAATTCACATTCTTTGCGTAATTAATTTACAGAGTGCGTAAATGAACGCAACAAATTGTTAACGGTAAACCTTGTACGTTTTTTAGTTGATTTTAAAGCGTAAAATATGCCAATATTCACATTATCTGGAATCTGTTACATTTAATAATATAATCAGTTATCTTAATTCTTATTATTATCGACCTGTGGTTTTTGAATTTTTAATACAACTACTTTTTTCAGATATAAATATCTATAAATTTACAAATAAAAAAAATCTATAAAATTATGGACTGACCATGAATATCATGAAAATCCTACATCTGATGAAGGCAAAACTGTGAAAATCAGATCTACATGTATGAAATAAGTATATCTTATTTTAAGTCATATTGAATTACGGACAGGGCGGACTGTGACTCAAGATTAGGCGGACCGTGATTTAAAAAGTATTTATATGTGGACTAATGTAATAAAAGTATTAAATTATTTGATGTCCCAAAATACCGTCCGCCTAGTCTCAAGTCACAGTCCGCACTGGTACGGTCCGCCCTGTCTCACAGTCTGCCCTGTCCTGCAGGGGTCATATTGTATTTAACAATTATAATTATTATACTAGTCCTTTAAATTTTGGACCTCTCATAGGATAGGATTTTATTCATTACAGGTCTGGGCAGTACCTCCAGTCGCTTGCAAAAATCAAGATCATAAAATTGAAAACTATCATTTTTCACCAATTATTACATTTTACCTGTATATCATGACAAGTTTTGGCCTATCTTGTTAAGCTTAGATAGCTAATACAGTAAATTGAGTAATAGACTGATAGAGATGTGTTCAAAAAGTAGTCAAAAATGTAAATAATAATTTAACAAAATATCTTTCCAGGTTTTCTGAATAAGTCCAGATATTAATTATGTGGTTTCAACAATAAAAAATGATAAGAAAAACCTAATATGTTAATAAATTGAAAAGTGGACCGAGTTGAAAAAAGGCCGAAGCTGACACGGGGCCGAGTACGTTTTAGGGCCGCAGCCGCTACATGCACTAAAATTAGCAGTCTATCAAGCGAAATATATCAATAGCTTTACCAGATTTTGAAGAAAACTTGATTATACATACGGAATTGATTGCAACCAAAATATCAACTGCAATAGCTGTGACTTCCTATATTGTAAGATAGCAGATCTTCTCAACCTTTACTCGGAATAACTGACCAAGATGGCGATTTCGGGGAAAATGACGTCAAGGTGGGAAAATAGTTCGTATTCATACGCATACAAATTTACTCTGTCATTCACACTTTTTAACCATTTTAAGCTGAACTGTTGTAAGTTATCTAATTTGAAAATCGTATTCCATCTTCCTGAATTATTGTGTTCTATGATAGTTAGTTAATTTATGACTTGATAAAATTGGCACCAAATTTTTGTAAAGTACTTTGGCTCTCATGCATCGGGAACCAGAAGTTAGAACAAATAAACTGGTTCTCATTAACATTTTTATCGACTGCTTAGCGTAGTAATATTCAAATCGCGTAAAGCAAATGGTATTGTAATTTTGTGATAAAAGGATTTAAAATTAAGTAATATCAAATGACCAGTCAAGTTTTAAATTAGATAAGGTTATTATGATGATCTGAATATTATGGTAAAATAGTTGGAACTATTTTTTTTGCTCAGCGCAGCAAGATAGCCTAAACGCCGTTCAGAAGGTAGTAAGCTGAATTATCGTATATTACATGGGGGCTATGGCGCCCCCAATGAACAACACATGTGGTTAGACCTCACGGCTGCTCAGGTTGTTGACTATGGTTTGACCAGTCAATAGATGCATTTAATAGATTTTTTACTGATTGTTTTAAATGTACTGACTTAGTCCAATAAATTTTCTACTCCATATATCCATGCCAAGTTTCACTCAGGTTAACATGGAAAACTTATTAATGCTGTCTAAAAGCATAATTTCGTGAACCTAATGTACACACTCACCGTGATTCTTACCATTACATAGTCTGCACTCGCTTCCATATGTTTAAGAAATACCTGAAAAACTGATGATTCTGATTTTATCTAAAAGGATGTGATAAACTGTATTAAAACTTTTTCCTTCTTACTTATAGAAAGCCAGTTACAGAGCTCAATCTGATATAGATCATATGTTTGAGTTGTGTCAATGTCATTAAAAATGAAATGTTTGTTAAGCCTGCCCTAGGATGAAACAAAAGACTTCTTAATTTTCAAAATAACAATAAAGGTAGAAAATGCTATAAAAACCATGGTGGTCTTGATGACCTTACTGTTAAAAAGGAATAATGTATGTTTTGCTGAAAGAATGTTATTGTAAATTGCACCAAATGTCCAAAATAAGAAACGTCTGAGACATGACCTACTGCCAGGAAAGGAAGAATTTTTAGTAGGGCTTGTAC